GTGAGAGGATTCACCAGAGACAGAGCGGGGAACAGAACAGGCAGATGGACCGAAACACACTGCTGAGGGGAGCAGCGGGCGCAGCAGGAGAGGACTGCTGTGCCATGTGGGTATCTCCCTGGCTGGCCGGGAATTGAACCCTCGCTACAAAGGCTGCGGACAGCTTCACAGCACTGTGCTCAACCTGCTGTGCCACCAGGGAAGCCCTCCTAGAGTATAATATTTGGCTTACCACAGAATTTAGGTTTTAAACATGATACATTTCCCTACAAATGCAAACAAAGTCTATGAGATGTGTAAAACACTTGGTTTCCTCCCTCCTCACTCCCCCCATTCAGATAACAAATCACTTTCCCGTGTTCCGCCCTCACCCTAAGGGGCAGTCAAAACAGGTTGGATCAAAAGGCAGTTAATTGATACTTTGCTCTTGGCAGTTACTTTCCCTTTACATGTAAGATGTGCTTTATTACTCTTTGCTTTTATCTTCTAATCTAAAAACCTAAAAGGGTAGATATGAAATATTTTCCAGTAGTTTTCTTGGTAACTTTTTAAAATATTTATTTATTTATGCATACAAGAACTGGATACAGGCCTGAGGTGCAGGGTGGTGGTGGGGGCAGTGAGCGTATTCACCAGAGAGAGTGGGAAGCAGAACAGGCGGATCTATTGAAATACACTGCTGAGGGGAGCACCGGGCAAGACAGGAGAGGTCTGCTGAGCCATATGGGTCAGCTCCCTGGCCAGGGGTCGAACTCCTGCTGCAGTGATTGCCTATTGCTTCAAAGTGCTGAAACTTAACCCCTTGCGCCACCAGGGAGGCCCTTAATAACTTTTTCAGATATAATTCACATGCCATAGCCTTCACCCTTTTAAAGTATACAATTCAGTGGTTTTTATTATATTCACAGTGTGTATAACCATCACCAAAATCAATTTGAGAATGTTTTTGTCTTTCCAAAAAGAAACTCCATATCCATTAGCAGTCCCTCTCCAGTTTTCCCAACTCCCACAGTTCTAGGTGACCACTAAATCTACTTTTTCTGTAGATTTACCTGTTTGAGACAGTTCATATAAATGGAAGCATACAATATATGGGATTTTGTGTTTTTGCAGAAATGCCTGAGAAGTTTAAGGGGCTCGGTGGTTTCCAGGTTGACATTGCTGTATTTGGGTGTTGTTACCTATCTGAGGTTAATGAGGCAGGTTAGTTTTAATGGGGAATGATTTAGCCAGTTTCTGGCGTAGGACCAGTCAGCAAGCATATTTACAATTAAACTGTCTTTTCTATAATGCCAGAGTACCGAGTGAAGGGAGATGAACCTGACTGCTACAGGCCTGCAGTCACTGAGCAGCATGAGGGAGCATCTTAAAGCGAATCCTGTTTCGATCATAATACATTTCTAGCTTTGTAATGAAAGTCCTGGGGAGAGGAAAGGCCAGTTATTTTACAGAGTTGACTGACTCTGTTTTGTTGTATAAAGTACTTTTAAGACTATTTTTTTCAAGATGTATGACCCCTATGTTTGTAGCAGCATAAGTCACAGTAGCTAAAACACAGAATCAACCTAAATGCCATTGACAGACGACTGGAGAAGGAAATTGTGGCATATGCAGCCATTCCAAAAGGCAAAGTCGAGCCTTTTAGGACAATATGGATAGATCTTGAGGTGATGATGCTAAATGAAATAAGTCAGAAAGTGAAAGACAATTACTGGATGATCGCACTCATTTGTGAAATATAAATAACAACGAAAATAACTCTAGACTCAATGGTGGCCCTAGAAGAGGGGGTGATGGGGGTCATGTGACTGGGTCATGGCATGGGGTTTTGGTGGAGGAAGAGTGAAACACGTGAAGTTGTCCTCCAGAATTTATCTAGTTTTGTAAAATGAATCACAAATCAACAAAACTAGATCTAAAAAAGTATTTTCTTAGTGAAGTTGATTTGCCTATAGTTTATGCTTTGCCTCCAAAATGCACATCGAAATTTCATGAACTCTTGCTGGTTTGGGTTCACTTTTCCCTTCTCTGTATCTTCTGTTACTTCATATCTTGAAATACGTAGTCGCTTCCCTGTGATCAGAGTGGGTGCAGGTATCTCTCACACAATCGTTTGGTTCCATTGCCAAAGGAATTGATGTGTCATTTGCTGTGTCACATTTCCTTGAAGCCTGGGCTGGCCCGGAAATTACCCCATTTTCAAATTACAAAGAAATTATCAAGTGTGAGAGGCCCAGTGTCATGTAGAGGTTATGGCTATGCTTCCTCGGTTGTCAAAGGTCGGAAAACTTTCCAAATAAATAACAAAAAACGCCGCATACCATCTCATCCCTTTCACTGTTATACAGCCTTGGCCTTCATATAGGATTCTCTTCTCTGCTTGGTGTAAGAGTAAGGCAGGAAATGGTCTTGTTCTCTCTAGGGATTTATAAGCTCCTTGGAGGCAACAGTATCTTAGAAGGTAAAATTCACATAGTCAGAAGGCCACTTGGCAACCATCTGTGGAGCAGCCAGCAGGAAGACAAACAATTGCAAATGTGGGACTGTGGGAAGCAAGGAAGCTGTACTTTGCTGTTGGCAACCTTTTAATGTGAGCTTGGGAGCATTTAGTGCTCCCTGGTGGAATTAAGAGTTTGGCCGTTACCGAAAGAAAAAGTAAAAAAATCAATCTGAATTTGTTTTTCTCATCTGAAGAAGGATATGTTAGGATTTCTTCAGTTGGAAAGGAATATCAAACTGGCATAAGTATTAGGAGATTTTTATAGGCAAATGTACCCAGGAGTCTAGTGGGTAGAAGTAGAGTTGATCCAGAGACTCAAAGTGTAACAGGAAGTCTCTTCTCCTTCCCTCTCTTGGCTTGACATCCTCTGTGTTGGTGTGATTTGGGGGGACTTTCTCCAACTGGTGGGCACTGGCAGCTCCAAGTTAATCACTTCATTAGGAGGGGGAAAAAGAAAGCTTATCTTTGCCAGCAGCTCCAAATGCGCTCCAGAATTGAATGCCCTTGCCTGTGTCTGAGCCAGTCATTGTGGTGAAGATGGGATGGATGGAGTAGTCCCACGGGCCAGCCTGGGATTTGAGTTCACACGCAGCAGAGGGAAAGAAAGGAGGTAGTTAACGCCACTTAAACCACAAGGGCTAAGAGTGGGAAGGATGTTTCCCAAAGGAACACTGGATGTGGTTACCAGAGAGAGTGTAGCAACTATGTGCAACCAGTGTCTGCTGCAGAGAGAAAAGCAAGAGCTCCTTTGGTTTTAAAGTATCTGGCAAAATGTGTTGATGGAAGTAAATATCTGTTCTTTACTCGAGATTAATGAGGGAAAATAGACAAAAACAAGGAAGAGGGATGTTAGTAATAGCTATGTTTCAGAAAAGCTAGACACACATGAAATCGTATTTCTAAAAGAAAACATCCAGCAGATCTCTGAGTTGGGCACTTTTGTTATCAAAAGTAGTTTTGATAACAACAGACCTACTATAATATGTACCAGACCTTGTCTAGATCAGTAATATACCCTCTGTCAGAATTGCTGATACCAACTACCAATTTATTTTTTCTTTTGGGTTTTTTTTAAAAAAGATTTATTTATTTATGCATAAAAGAACTGGGGTACAGGCCAGAAGTGTGGGGGGTGAGAGGATTCACCTGAGACAGAATGGGGAAGAGAACAGGCAGAATGACTGACATACACTGCTGAGGGGAGCAGTAGGCGAGGCAGGAGAGGTCTGCTGTGCCGTGTGGGTAGCTCCCTGGCCATGGATTGAACTCATGCTGCAGTGGCTGTGGATGCTTCATAGTGCTGCGTCTTAACTCCTTGCACTACCAGGGAAGCCCTCCTTTGGGGTTCTTGTAGAACTTGGAAGCTGTTTTCTTTCTCCCCACTTAGGAAACCATTCATTTTTTCTTTTCTTATAAATTTTTGGGGGGCATAATTCTTTTTCTTTTCTTTTTACCTTTCAATTTCTTTCACCCATTTCTTCCACCCTTTTTACTATGCTTGTATGTCTCTTTCTCCACCTTGGGACCACCAAAACTTGGCCATCATTTTGCATAACAGAACTTAACACAAATGTAGTGTCACAGTTGCCAACAGGGAAACTGCTTAATTCCGTTTCAGCCATAACCTTACACTCCCTTAAGAGCAGAGCTTCTGCATGTATAAATTGGAGGCACAGAAAGGAAGATGTAGCTTAGGACCACATGCAGAGACTTCCCAAAACAGTGAAAATGTAGGGGTGGCAGGAAAGTGGATGGGTGGACAGGTGCAGCCCTCAGCAGGTGCTCCAGCATTGTATACGTCTAATTTATCAGAGAATGGAATCACAACCTACAACATAGAACGTGGTATATAAACTTTGCTTACAAGCTTGTCAGTTCAAACAGGAAAATTAGTAACTCAGAAAAAAGATCATTATAAATTTCTGAAGCATTTATATACCTTCCCCATCTTTTTTTTTCTTAATTTCTGAAATTTATAACAAGATTGTATCCTTGAGCCCTTTGATTCAGTTCAAGGATACAGTTTTCTTGTGGAAATTGCTCTCATCACTGACAGTGTCATAGAGAGAAGATGTACTGGAGTGGAGAAATGCAGCAAAGACAGGAGCTCTGCTGGGCTTCCAGCAAAAACATGGGCAGGCACAATGCAGACTTTAGAAGGGGTCCCTAGAGGGCATTTAATCCAGTCTTCGTCCTTCACCATATGCTCCCCTGCTGTGCTACGTAATCGTCTAGCCAGAGTCTGAAATCCACAATCATAGAATATCAGTGCCAGAAGTGACCTTAGAGATCACATAAAGCTGAGATTAGTCTTCATCCTTGGCCCCATGTTCTTTCCACTTAGTATGTTGTCTCTCCAAATAAAGAAAGACTGGTAGAACTACAGTCTCTTGCTGTTTGAATTATGATGGACGTGTTATCCCATCACAACCTGTCTAGGGTTATTTGCCTTTCAGTCCTAAACAGTAGTAAATTCTTCCTTTTTTATTTTCAACCCCAGGAGTTGCCCTACTCTCAGATGCCTACCCTGAGAAAATCTTGCTTGGCCTGTTGGCTCAGTATGACAGCGGTAAAGACCAGCACACAGCAGAGACCAGAATGAAAATGGGGGAAGTCCTGATGAGAATTGTCAGAGCATTGGGTAAGTTTTCCTGGTTCGTCCATCTGGAGCAGGGTGGGTGGGGGAGCAGGATGGCTTTTGAACCAAAGTCTGGTATCTTCATGCTGACCACGTGAGTACCATTTAGGGGATAAGATGAATAACGTACTCTGTTCAAGGACTTAGCAGATATGCAGATGCCCACTAAGAGATTGATGGCAAGAGTGTCCTTTTTCCGACAGCTGCTTAGTCTCCTTCCCTGAGTTGCGTTGGGGCCCAGGTTTCACTGAAAATGGGATTGGGGATGGAATGGGAAGTGTCACACTTGCTGAGCATCAGCAAGCATCAATAGAAGAGGAATGTCAGACAAGGAAAGAAGGACCTAACTCTTGTTGCCTGGAAGAGGCCCATTTTTGGTTTATTTTGGTTTGTTTGGTTTGGCTTGGTTTATTTTGGTTTATTTGTCAAATGACCCTTTATTGAAACATTTTCCTCTGTAGCTCTTATCTGGCTTAGCACTCCACCATGCCACTGCTGATGTCATGAAGGTGGCTGCCATCAAAATTGTAGCCCACAGACTGAGCAGTCCCAAAATCTCTTTAGCAGGACCAGAAAGTTCTTTAGCTAAAGATCAGTGCAGTACCTCAGGCAATGTCGACCGTCTCATCAAAAGTGATCTTTCCTGTGTGCTTAATGTTTTGCTGCTTCTGTCTGTCTCTTGGTGGCTCCTTGAGGGTTTTGACAATGACGCAGAGCCTGTCTGTTCCAAATGCTCTATTCCACTGTAATCGTCACACCCTTCCATCACCAGTTGCCTTGGCCAAGTCATCACCTTTGGGGGATAAACCCAAATACCAATTTCAGGGACCAAGGTAGAGACATGGCACTTCAGGTATATGACTTTGGTCTCAATGGAGTCAAACTTGGGCAGTTGGGAGATTCAGCTGATGTCAGATGAACCTGGATTTGGGACATCCAAAGACAATTGCCAAAAGAGGTGCATTTTATAGATGAGGAAACTTGTGAAGGGACCCTCAGCAATTTGTCCAAGAATCATTCTGCTGGCAAATAGTGGTGCTGAATCAAACCTACCAATTCAAAAGAAGTTGTTCTAAGTTACGCAAGTTGAGAGTAGCAGGTAATAGTGTGGGCTCTAGAGACACACTGCCTGTGTTCAAGTCCCCAACTGCTGTTTATTGACTTTGTGATCATGGAAATATTCTTACTCTTTTGGTGCCTCAATGTCCTCAATGGAGGGTGAAGGTATTAATAGCACTTACCTCAGAGGACTGTTGTAAGGATTAAATAACCTAATATGTAGAGTGGTGTTTGGCAAACAATAAGGACTCAGTAAATTTTAATATTTTCTAAGTAATGAAGAAAGATTGCTTTTTTTTTTTTAAGATTTATTTTATTTATACAAGAACTGGGGTACAGGCCCGATGTGTGGGAGAGTGAGAGGATTCACCAGAAACAGAGTGGGGAACAGAACAGGCAGACTGATGAAATACACTGCTAAGGGGAGCAGTGGGCAAGACAGGAGAGGTCTGCCGTGCCATGTGGGTTTCTCCGAGGCCGGTGGGGATTGAACCAGCACTGCAGAGGCTGCAGACAGCTTCACAGCACTGCGCTCAACCGCCTGCACCACGAGGGAGGCCCAAGAAAGATTGCTTTTATTTTTTTAAATTTTTTTAAAAAAGGATTTATTTATTTATGCAAGCACTGGGTACAGTCAGAAGCACGGGAGGGTGAGAGAATTCACCAGAGCCAGAGCGGGAAACAGAACAGGCAAAATGACAAAATACACTGCTGAGGGGAGCAGTGGGAGTGGCAGGAGAGGTCTGTCACGCCATGTGGGACCCTCGCCAGTGGCTGGTGATCCAACCTGCGCTGCAGAGGCTGCGGGAAGCTTCGCAGCTCAGCGCTCAACCGCTGCGCCACCAGGGGAGACCCGAAAGATTGCTTTTAAGAAAAATATTTTATTTACTATTTATTGAGAGCTAGGAGTTGGGACCCTGAGGAGCAAGGACAAAGGAAAAAATGGGCTAAATTAAGATAAAATAGTGTGTTTCACCTTAAGCCAGTAAATACACTTTTGATGATTTTTTTTTTAATTGGGCTATATTACATAGAATTGAGAAGAGATTAGTTTCTTGAACCTACATTCCCACAACTAAACTATTGACTGCTACACTGCATGTAAGTTGAAGCCTTAACCTAAGACAAACCAGCGTCCAGGTGTAGGCCAATGGTGTACTGTAGCCATTGAATCAGCCACCATGTTGAATTTTGAGAACTAAGTTATGGTTTAGAATTGTATTCTCACTACACATGTCCTGTCTTGGATTGTGTTATGAAATAATAGTGTCAGTGGTTAGTATTTTGTTTTGCAAACAATGCCATACATCGAACTAGACTTCTTTCCTTTTCTAAGCTAGGTCAGCATCTTCTCTGGTGCTGATATATTTGTCCTTGACTTCTTGATACTTTAGCATGTATTTGCTAGCATGTTACCTATGCAGAAAGAGAAGTGATCTCAACTTCAGGTTGGCTGATTTGTCTGTGAGCTATAGTAAAACTGGTAGATTTTACTCTTTATCCAGTAGGGATTTTGGAAAACAAATTAGCTTTTTGCCACTTGTATCAAGAGGTCACATCGAATCCCTCCTTCACCAGCATTTCAAATCAGATTCCACATAGTCATCCATCATTTTTACAGACAGAGCCCTTAAGTTTTCTAATTTATGGGTGACCCTTCTGACTAGAGAAGACAGAATTTATGTCTCCAACCACTTGTATTTTCCTGTCAGGGAAAGGGGAATATCATGAGAGTAAAATTGAAGTTTTTTTCCATTCATTGAAGAAAGACCTTATTTGCACTAGTCCTAAATATGGGTCTGACACCCACCAGGCAAGTATACCATGATAAGAAATCATTCTCTCACAGTAGGTGTGAATGCTAGACTCTCACAGGATGAAGTGCGACCTCTGGCTTCTATTTGTGTGCCATTGGGGTTGGCAGAGCTGAGAAGGAAAGTCTACTGCACACAGACAGCTTTAACATAACTTATATTTGTTCTTGAATCTCACCCTAATGGAATTAAATTCCCATATTTTCAGTATGCTGACATATAAATCTGGACACTTGGGCAGATTCAGGTGAATTTGGGGACATAAGAATACCTCATGCACTTCCTGTTGCCTCATAGCTGGAAGCACAAAATGTCTGATTATCTCCTTTGAGTGATGTTGAAATTGATTAGCATGTTTGCGGTTATAAATGTCACCACCAACCTTCCTCCTAATAATTTTAAGTAACCATAGATGGTTGTTATCTGCATCTATTATATCATAGCAGTTGCAGCTTTTTACATTTTACATTTGAGGAAACTGAGATACAGAGAGGGTTACCAATTTGCCTAATGTCACACAGCTAATAAATGGTGGATCCAGAATTTGAACTCAGACTCTCTAACTTCAGATCCAGCTTCTTCTCCAATTTACTATTTGTATCCTGAACATTTTTCCCTGTCATTTAGCATCTTTCCCCTTTCATTAACATGAACATTTCCCACATTCTCTATAATTTTTTCATGATTACATGATAATACAGCATTTAAATAGAGCAATTTATGGGTTCTAATTTTTTCGCTATCATGAATTACAATTAAGATGAATCCTTTTCTAAATGAATTTTGTATAGCTCTATGTTAATTTCTTAGAAAAACTCTTTGAGTTTGTTTAAAAGCATGTGCATGTTTTAAAGGTATTTATTGCTAAATTATCTTCCAAGGCGGTTGTGCTAGTTTATATCTCAATGTTGAGACATTTGTTAGTGTCTTCATCAATGCTGTATTTTCTGTCTTCTTTTTTATCAAACAAATATATAAAGAAATGCTCTTGGTTTTATTTCCATATATTCACTTGATCAAATTAAATATATTTTTTTAAGATTTATTTATTTATGCATACAAGAGCTGGGGGAGATGCGGGGGGGTAAGAGGATTCACTAGAGACAGAGTGGGGAACAGAACAGGCAGACTGACTGAAATACACTGCTGAGGGGAGCAGCGGGCAAGACAGGAGAGGTCTGCTGCGCCATGTGGGTTGCTCCCTGGCCGGCCAGGGATCGAACTTGTGCTGCAGAGGCTGTATATTGCTTCACAGTGCAGTGCTTAATCCCTTGCACCACCAGGGAGACCCCAAATTAAGTATTTTTTATATATTTATCAACTAGGCTTTTGTGGATGTTGAAGAGGGTATGTGTACATGTGTGTCCGTGTGTGAACCGTCTATTCCTTTTCTTTCACCATTTTTCTACAGGGTATTGATTTTGTTATTTGATTTATAAAAGCTTTCTATATTTAAAGATCTTGAGCCACTGACTTTTCTGTTGTAAGTAGTTTCTTCAGTTTTTTGTTTACATTTTAGTTTTGTTCATATTTTACGTTTCATTTTGGTTGTAGGCAAATCTGTCTTTATAGTATCACTCATAGAGAAAGGCTTCCTCAAACCATGATTTATGTAGGTATAAATCTATATGTTTCAATTTCAATTCTTCAATGTAGAAAATATTGTGGAAGGATGTTGGTTTAGTTTCTTTTATTTAAGGAACTATTTAGATTTTTATTATACTTTTAAAAATTTAATCTTAACACACTGCTAAATTACCAATCACTCCAAATGTTTCTCCATCTGTTTCTTATAATATGGCCCAATGTGGTTCTTGACAATAACCTGTGGACTGTTACATGTCATTGCATTTTTTAAAACTTCTTTTAAAATTTAACATTAAATTATTGTGCTCACGGTATTGAATTTGTAATTGGGACATTATTTGACAAGCAATGAATTAAAGCAAAGGGATTGAATACATCTGTGGGGTTATTTCCTTCTGCAATTGCCTGGAGAATTAGTCCTCATCTCATGTAGACTACACCCCTTTTTCACAAGTGCCAGTTACAAAATCTTCTCTCTTCAACAGAACTGGACGAGCACCACCCTGTCTTCTTTGTTCCTCTAGACCAGTAATTCCAAAAATG